TTTTTTTCTGACCGGTAAGGGGGTCGTAACCCTCGGCACACTGTGCTCTGCACCACGCTCAGCCAGTGAGCGCACCAGCCATCCCTATATAGGATCCGAACCCACGGCTTCGGTGCTACCAGTGCCACACTCTCCTGAGTGAGCCACGGGGCCGGCCCTGAGAATGGTATTTTCACACAGATAACCTAAATTTTTCTCACAGGAATCTATGGGAAGTTAGAACAAGTGCAAATGCTCTCAAGGCTCTCTCTTGCTTACAGGGATGCCACTTGTTTCTGAAAGTACTGATGCTGGTTCCAAGGCCAGGGCTCCACTAGCCCATGTCACCTCTTAATATGCTAGGAATCAGTGAATGAAAATATTAAGTTATCATATCTCACTCCATCCACAAATATTTACTGAGTGCCAACTCCAAAGATGAAACTAACATGTTCACTTCCCTTCTATCTATGAATATTCAGTTATTTGTACTATTAACTTTATTTTTTATTTTTATTTTTCATAATGAGATTTTTGCCTTCTATTGCCTCAACTTCTCAGATTTGGATGCTTTATTGACTTTTTTCCAAGTATAAGAGTAGTCTTTAATAATTCTTACTTCAATATACTAAAGATTATCAAAATGTGTATCTGTATAATTAAAACATTTTTCATCAATATTGTATGATTCCATTNCACAAATATTTACTGAGTGCCAACTCCAAAGATGAAACTAACATGTTCACTTCCCTTCTATCTATGAATATTCAGTTATTTGTACTATTAACTTTATTTTTTATTTTTATTTTTCATAATGAGATTTTTGCCTTCTATTGCCTCAACTTCTCAGATTTGGATGCTTTATTGAATTTTTTCCAAGTATAAGAGTAGTCTTTAATAATTCTTACTTCAATATACTAAAGATTATCAAAATGTGTATCTGTATAATTAAAACATTTTTCATCAATATTGTATGATTCCATTCTATTTATATAATGCAGTTTTAAAATAGGAATATAGTACCCTGCCTGTGAAAAAACCATACAATACAGAAAAGAGGATTCATTTGAAAATGTAAGTATTTGCTTTTAAATTCTATGGCATGTGTCATACTTTCAAGACACACTGATTTTAAAATACTAAGAAGCTAAAACCAAATGGCGACTTTCAAACATCAATAAAGAAATATCTTAGATGTACATATAATAGAAAATTGTTGCAATTAATGACATTCTTGATATATATGACACAAAAAGCAAATTTAAAATGGCCATTACCCAACTCTCTTTGGAAAATTAAGTTATTAAAGACTACCATTACTGCTCCAATCCCAGGTTATCAAAGAGGTAGCCTGGAACCACACAAGAGCTGAAACTGGTTTTTGGTCCTGATTGGTAGCATTAAATTTGCTGTGTGACTGTAAACATTTCTTGACCTCTCTGGGCCTTGATTTCTCTTCTATTACATGGCAGGAGAGGGGGACAGTAAAATTTTCAGGGTCTCTTTCACCTCTAAATCTTTTACCATGTTAAGGACATGATACAACACAGTTAAAAAGATTCACCTTAGGAACTGGATTAACTTTTTACCTTTGAAAGCATGTGACCCACTTTTGTACGTTTGACTAAATTTATATAACATCCTTTGCCCAATACAGAACTCAAATCACTTTGTATCATCTTGGAGTGAAAACTATTAATAACAAAGACTGAAAGTAATTTACTACGATTACATTATTGATTTTTCTTAGGTTTTGCAGTAAATCAGGGTCTAAAAACATCTTCTTAAATTCTTTTTCATAAATAAAATGAACTTTGCCTTCATAGACATTTCTAAATCATTTCATCAAAGACCCTGAATGCCACCCTAAGGAAAATTTCTAATAAATAAATGAACTATTTTCTTCCAGTGAATATGGCTGAACTCTCATGAACTACAAAGAATGAGTTTTCTGTTTTTAAATTATCAGTATTCTCTGTAGAGGTATTTAATTTCAGCTCTAAGTAATAAAATTAAGAGAATAAAAAATATTTTACAACATGTATTAGAAATAAGCATCTCTAAACAAGATAACAATCACAGCAGACCACTTACCTGAACAAACAAAGCAATGATGGCGATTCCTTGCGGTTTCCCCACAGCCTCGTCAATGCTGCCAAACAGGGTGGAGTTCCAGTGGATCAAATGGAGCTGGTGGTGACAACAGACAGATCACACCGTTTAATGCACTTGTATTCAGGAAAACAAAAACAGCAACTTCTCCCCTGTATCTATATGGGATCGTGTGCAACAAGGGCACCACACATAGGCACTGCTGTAGACTGGATGCCCCCAAGCTCACTGAGGCTTAATCCTCACTATACTGTTGAGGGTGGGAAATCCTATGATAGTAATTGAAAGGTAGGGCCTCGAAGAGATGACCAGACTGTAGAACCATGTCTTAGTGAATGGATTAATAATAGCGGTCGGGGGTGTTGTTCTGAAGGCTTTAAAAGGAGAGCCTGTGAGAGTCTCTCTCTCTCTGCTCCTGCCATATTTGCCATGTGATACCCTGCGTTGCTGGAGTCACCACCAAAGAAGACTCACCAGATGTGTTCCCTGGACTTTGGACTTCCTAGCCTCTGAAATGGTAAGCAATAAGTTTCATTTTCTTTATAAATCACACAGCTCCTGTATTTTGTTATAAGCACCAGAAGCAGACTAATACAGACACAAATATAATACTGCCTCAATACCAGTGTTCTGTAGGAATTCCTTCCTTCTTATTTCTGAACAGAAGCAATGCTTAGTGGATCGTTGCCTTTCAAATTCAATTTTAGTACTGATCAGGAGGAGTACAACTAGGGGGACTCTCAGATTTCAGATTGATTTAGTTGTCTTTCCTTAAACATCATCCCCTCTGGATCTCAATGAAACAAAACTCCAGATCTTGGCACAAATGCTAAAGCTCATTCAAAGGATTAGTGTCTGCATAATCAAATACTGCATCACCCAGTATTTCCATCAGGAAATGTACAAAGCCAGTCTCAAGTTCTGGTATATTGTTTTAACTCCCTAAGAATATCCAGAGATAGCATCCTATTAAAAATGCCACATTTTTAAAAGCCATGGAAAAATAATAAATGCTGATGTAAATCTCTAAAAGAAAGCTATTTCCTGCACTGGAGATAAAACTTTATCTGTGAAGAAATGATAAACAATGCTCAGAGAACTCCCTCACTCTTAGCCTCATAAAGCTTTGTAGCTTTCAAGTTTATCTAGAATAAGCACGTGCTCCTACAGCACTGATAAAGCACTTGAAGAAGCCAAATTCAATTCGCTGGTTAAAAATCAAATGGCCATTGAGGTTCTTAATACAATAGCAGCTTAGGCAAATAAATTTTCTGTCTAGAATACTACCTCCATCATGATAGCTTTTAATCGAGGTATAATTACCACCTTAAAACATTGCCCCATTTAAAAATTAGTTCTAATTCAACAAGACATAATTAAAATTCAATCGCTATTTATTTTAGCATCTATACTAGAATATTAAGGAAAATTATCACAAGGATTGCCACAAATTTGATTTTTCCACTGCTCAATTTGTCCAAGTAGAATTTGAGATTATTCAACTGACCACTAGAGGGAGGTAACAAACTCATCTGCCAATAATAGAAACGGTATCTAGGAAAAGACCAAAGCCAAGGCCAGGCTAGGTCAGGCTGTGGAAAACTCAAGCGGACTGTAACTGCCCAGTAACTGTAACTGGAAAGGCACTGTCTTTAAGAAAACAATGTTCTATAACCTCCCAATTAATAATAGAAGACCGACTAATTCTAATCTTTCCTTGTCTGACTGCAACAATAGCATAGGAGTCCTAGTGGTACAGATAAGAACTAATGGCCTTAATTAAATCAAGGCTGAAATATACTTTTATTTGACCAATTACAAAGTTCAAACTGACATTTGTTCTTATTTCTCATGGCAACATTATGAGGCCTTTTTGCATTTCTTTATTTTTTTTCCAGAAACAAAGCATTAATAAGCCAAAAAAAGCATGTTTTTTGTTGTTTTTCGTTGTTTTTTTTTTTTTTTTGCCACTCTGCATAATTCAGCAGCATCACTCGTACGTGCTATTCAAAAACTGCTTCACGGGCCGGCCCAGTGGCGCACTACTACAGTGAGCCGCTTGGGAGCGCTGCGGCGCTCCCGCCAGGGCTCGGCTCCCACATACAGATCGGCCGCTCACTGGTTGAGCAAGGTGCAGGCGCAACACCGAGGGTTGCGATCCGTTGCCAGTCACGAAAAAAGACAAAAAGGAAAAAAAAAACTGCTTCACATTATTTTGTCACGTCCTGGGTACTGGGGGTTAGAACTTCAACATACGACTTGGAGAGTAGGGGGCAGACACAGTTCAGCCCTTAACAGCCTATCTTACCCTTTCCTTTCTCCCCACCATGACAAAGTTCTTTTGGATCGTAAAAGCTTGAATTATTCACATTGACCTCTGTTCTTCCACAGCTCTTTCTTTATTCCTATAATCTTACCATATTTTGCCTCATATTAGTGTTGGTTCTGTTCCATAAAGCAAAGTCACTGATGTATGAAAATTATCAGTGCACTTAAAGAACTAAGAGTACCTTTGTGGACAGCCAAAGGGTATGTAAGTCTGGCGATGACAAGAGACGAGTCTGGAAAGGCAGAGGGGTTGGCTACACAGAGCTTTAAATTTTATCATAACTGCATTATATTACTGCAATGAATATAATTATTACTTATGCTGCCTAGAGTCAAACTCTCCCATCACAAACCCTTTCCTTCAAAGGTCCCTTGGCAGTGTGGGGGTTGAACTGGAAGTAGTAGACATTGGAGGCTGGAATATAAGTTAAGAGGTCACCACAGAAGTTCCAGCTGAAAAATTACGATAGGGATTTGGGATGGTTAATTATATGTGTCAACGTGACTAAGCCATGGTGCCTAATTGTTTGGGAAAATGCCAGTCTAGATGTTGTTGTATTTTTTTTACATGTGATTAATATTTGAATCAACAGACTTAGAATAAAGCTGATTATCCTCCATCACATGGGTGGGCCTCATCTAATCAGTTGAAGGCCTTAAGAGCAAAGACTGAGATCTCCCAAAAGAGAAGAAATTCTGCCTCCAGAGTGCAAAATAAAAATTCTACCTGAACTTCCAGGCTCCAAACTTGAGCTGCAATATCAACCCTTGCATGAACTTCCAGCCTTCAGCTTGCCCTGCAGAATTCACACTTGCCAGCCCCTACAATCGCATAAACCAATTCCTTAAATTAAAACCCAGTCTCTCCTCTCCTCTTCTCTCTTCTCTCTCCCTTTTCCCTGCCCCCATTTCTCTGGAGAACCCTAATACAGGTTGTGCAAACAAAAAAGTGTGGAGACCAATGGAGGTTTAAATATAAAGACTAGTAGCAATAGAAATAAAGAGAAAGGACCCTAACAATTAAAGTGACATTTGGGATTTATTCTTCTAAGACTAAACATGGTCCTTTTGGAGAGGGCAGATGGGGGGAAAAAAAGAATCCCATGATGGTCAAAAAGAACATATTAGAACTTCTACTTTAGGTTTTATTCTTCTAAGACTAAACATGGTCCTTTTGGAGAGGACAGATGGGGGGAAAAAAAGAATCCCATGATGGTCAAAAAGAACATATTAGAACTTCTACTTTTATTTTTATTTAACATTTTTGTTTCAATTTTTCTATGCTTCACAAAATACATAATACATATGCACATATTACATATGTGCATAAATATAATTTATTAACCAATATATGCATATTAAGGATATGTGGTTAACAAAGATGTTTGGAGACAAATGGGTTTGAATGGAAAAGGACATGACACTAAGAACATGCCTTAGCAAATGATGAAGCAGCTCACTGAGTTCATGGGAGGAGAAACAGTCTTTCCCAATCATCGCATGAACTGGCTTATTAGAGGTCCAGCAGATGGCTATTAGTAGCTGAGGGGACTCAGAAGACAAACTTAAAAGCCAACAAGTACAGAAACGCTCTGGGACATGCCGTCCTGCAGAGAGTGCAGAACAGCCAGGCAGCCACACACACGCTGCTGCAATCATTGGTGACATCTTAAAGGCGGCGTGCTCTCAGAAGAGGCCTCTGGGTGAGCAATCACAAGTCTTAACATTCTTGTTTCAGTTCCACTATTCCTCAGCTCTGGGAACCTCACAAGTGACTAACGTCCTTGAACATTAGTCTCTCTGTGACATTAGGAGAGTCGCATCTTAAAAGCTTGAACAGTCATGTCTTTCTTTGTCTTCCCACAGTTCTCTCTTTATTCCTATATTCTTATCACATTTGGCTGTCATTAGATTAGTTATATACAGCCAGCAAAGGCATGGATGCAGGGTGATGAATTTTGAGAATGGAGAGGCGCTTACCAGTTTACAGTGAAGAACAAGTATATAAATACCGCTTGCTATTTCTAAGGCCTGTGGGGTTGGATGGTGTCAACGCATCTGCTGCCTGGACTCAGACGGCCACTGTGCATGGTCATCTAACTCCTCCAGGATCACGGACTAAAGACGACCACAGGCAGGACTCAGCCTCACCATGGCTTTCAGCAGCCTACACCCTCTTTGCCTTGTAAACACACTGAACAGCATGGTTGAGGGGCTGCCTCTGCGGTTTGAAAACCCCGACTCCTACTCTGGCTACCAACACTAGTAGCAGAAGAAAAGGAGGGCAAGAATTCATCCTCAGCTGCAGCGATCGGCAGTGTCCAGGCTCCCTTCAGTGGCTCTCCGTCCAAAGGTTTTAGTCTGCTCCCAACTTGGGCATGTCAGAGGACAAGAAAGGGGTTTCTACAACAATTACAGCTGAGACTTTCCTTACTCCCTACCACTCTTCTCCCCATCCCCACCATTCCCCACCACTGACCCTCAATGTGAGGCATGCATTACAAAGAAATAAAAAAGCAAACATGCATTACTGCTCTAGCAGCATGATGGCCATCATGCCCTCCAATTAAAACATCGACCACAGGATAACAACCGCAAGCGTCCTTTTACAGTTTTAGAGAAAATCTTTGACTGAACTTCTGCAATACGGCTCACAAATTCAGATTTCCTGCAATTGATGATGCTGCTTTACCGTTAGTATCTGTGAAATGTTCATCTTAAGGTACTTAACTCGTAGCAATAGATAAATT